GAAGCCGGAAACCGAAATTGGAGAATATCCGTAATGTAACGATCCGCTGTCAAACCGAGCAACAGCGGAAATGAACGCAAGTTGTTTTTCCTTCCAAGATTATACTACACCAAAACATTCACGAACCACCTCCATAGTTCACTGTTTAGACATTGCAGGACTGGTAAAATCGTCCTCCAAGACTTCGGTAGACGCGTTTAATTTGGGCCCAGTGTTAGCTCATCTGGGAGTCAAATTAGCAACCTTTAAGTCTTCGCCTAAATGTCAACTGAGTGACGGTGACAGCTCGACTATTCCTTAAGGATTTTTAAAGCTTAACTTCTGTCGCGTACCGATTCCGCGATTGATGGTAAGCCCTTAAGACTGCAGATTACATAATAAGTAGGCGGCCCGCGACAGTCCTCTGGCTATAGCCCTTTAGTAATAATGCAATTATTACCTAGATCGCCTTCACTGGTGAAGTATTCATTTGTAAAAGATTCACTTACTGCACTTTGAAGTGTACACACACGTCAACGTTTGAAAAGAGACTGAGACGACCACCACCAAATTTATAGATGTCTACATTGTGTATTGCTGCATTTCTCGTGCCCTATAGAAATAGGTAAATTTTACAACACGTTGCCAGTTTGCATAAAACAGTTATTGTTTAGAAGCTTTGTAATAGACAATATTTTTTCTAAGTTGTTTTTCATAAGTTTGTTTGTTTGTCTTTTATAAGATATTTTAATTCGAAGTAACAGAACATAAAATTACTAAGTATAAACTACAATTTATTTGGTGAGTCGACTTTTTTATTTTGTATTTAAAATGTATTTAATACACAATATTCTTCTTCTTCTTCTTCTTCTTAACGTGCCCTATCAAGTCCCCTTGACGTTGGTGATTAACATGGCGAAGCTGTCTCTGTCTCGAGCTATTCTAAATAGTTGCTCAGCTTTCTTTATTCCTGTTCACTCCCTGATATTCTTCAACCAAGAGGCCTGCTTTCTACCAATTCCTCTGCGTCCTTCGATTTTATATATCATAATAAGTTGAAGAATATTATATCGGTCTTCCCTTACTACGTGTTCAAAATAGGCCATATTTCTACATTTGATGTTATTAAGCAGCTCGCGAGCAGCATTTGCTCCTTCAAGGACTGCCACAATTGTCAGCATAGCCGTCCATGGAATTTTTAGTATACGTCTGTGCAGCCACATCTCAAAGGCCTCCAGACGATTAATCGTGGATATTTTTAATGTCCATGCTTCGACCCCGTATAAGAGGGCTGACCAAATGTAGCATTTAACCATGCGCTTTCGAAGTTGAAGTTGCAAGTTATCATTACAGAAGAATGACCTCATTTTTAAAAATGTCGTGCGGGCTATCTCTATTCTACATTTTATCTATTGATCTGAATCTAGTTGTTCAGTAATATGGCAACCAAGATATTTAAAACAATACTTATTCTTATTCTTATTCAACAATATTCTTATTCTTTTTTATTTTGCCTCTTCTTTTTAATCGTTAACCTGATGCAGGTATCGTGATATCATGAAGCTATTAGCTAATTTTTCCAATGTTCCTCCACGTTTTTCTATCTTCTGCCATTCTAGCATATTCTGACAATGGAGCGCCAATGGTAGCAACAATATGGTCCGTGTATCGTGTGGAAGATCTACCTCTATTTTTTTGCCTTCTACTTTTCCCTGGATGGTAAGTTTTTTCAAGACCATTTCTTCGAAGTACATGTCCAGAATAGCTTATTATGTGTTCTGACATGTGTGTTCTTAGTCTTTTCTTTATGTTCAGCTGATCCAGTATAGATTCATTTGTTCTTCGGGCCACCCATGCTATTCTCAGCATTCGTCTCCAGCAGTACCTCTCAAATACATCTATGTTCTTTTTGTCTTTCTCAGTAAGGTTCCAGCATTCCGATGGATAAGTAGAAACTGAAAAACCTAGACTTCTTACTAGTCTCATTTTTGTATCGGTAGTTATTTCTTGGCCTTTTCAAATTTTTGTTAATTTTGCCATAGCGCTTTTTGCGATCGCTGACCGCCGCTTTATTTCTTCAGTACAACTTCCTTTGTTGGTTATTAATGAGCCCAGATACACAAATTTATTTACAAGTAGCTCGTTTTATCTTTGTTTATTTTAAGGCCCATCGTTAAGCTTACGTCTTCTATCCGTTGTAGCAGGTGAATCAATTCAGCTTCAGAACTAGCGAGGATAGTAGTATCATCTGCATATCTCAAGTTGCAAATCTTCTTCCTGCCAATGGTGATGTCACCGTTTCAGTCCTCAGTAGCTTTCCGCATTATCCATTCACCATAGATGTTAAATAGAATTGGGCTTAGTATGCAGCCTTGTCTCACGCCCTTTGTGACCCTTAAACTATCGGTTAGTTCCCCATTTATTCTAACTCTGGCATAATTGTTATTGTACAGGCTTTTACTTAGCAGTATCAGATGATAAGGAACTCCCATTTCAGACAAAACCTGCCACATTTTACTCCAGTTGACCAAATCGAAAGCTTTACTATAATGAAACGTACTATAAAGCACAAATATGTTGTGATGTTGAATTCTCTGGATTTTTCTACAATCTGCCGTACGTTTAAAATTTGTTCTCTAGTACCACGTCCGGGGACGAAACCTGCTTATTCCTCCGCAATGTTAGGTAGTAAAAAGGGCTTTATCCTCTCGAGAATTATGTGTAAGAGTATCTTACTGCAATGCGCAATTAGAGCAATTGTGCGATAGTTGCTACATAAATCTTTCGCTTTTTACTCTACTGAATGGCTAATAATATATTTTGGCACATCAACGCAACGTTTAACAAAGAACTGCAAAAATATTATAATGCTAAATATAGTTTAGTTTATTATAGTCAGTTCGTGTAAATCATTGTTTATTGTAAGTATTGAATAATTTGATCCGACAATGACAGATCGAGTTTTCAATGATTTTGATTTAAATTTATACGCATTTAGCATAAGAATACATTTCCACCGAAATCTGCATGGGACTGACAGATTGACTCGTATGAGATTGAACGTAGAATGCTTGTACATGGAAATTTCGGAATTTATCTCTTCCCATCAAATAATTTTAATAGAGATTTATGTTATGGTAAAGCTTTATAAAGAGTTTAAATGTTGACAAATGTAGCACGAACACAAATTTACAGGAAGTGTAGTACCAATATTACAAATCGTAATCATATAGAGGGTAGTGCTTACATAATTGTATTTACATATATTTAGTTGATTTTTCACAACATTTTAGGATAACGATTTTCCGCTTTCTCTTAGCGCAAAATACATAACTAAATTAAGAACTTTGGAATATTTTTATCTATCTTTACTGATCTTACTAAAAGCCTTAGCGTAAATGGACATGGATCAGCCCAAATGGCAATGTCAAAAATAAATAGATTATATCATAACAAACAGAAAAGAAATAATCAAAGACACCAAAAATATGATCCTAAAACCAAGAAAAAAGAAATGAATTTCCCCAAAAAACAACGACCTGTATGAAGATACACTAACCAGACATAATATATAAGAATTGCAAGATAAAATAGAAGATGTAGATCAAGCAAATGATGGCATAACGAAGACTCCTAAAGAAACGAAAAGAGAGTGCTGCCCAACCGTTCTGACCAATAAAGTTAAACCTAGCCAAAATATCAAAGAACTAATAGGTCAAAGAAGACAGCTGATGGAAATATACTGCATCAACTACACAACAATAAAAAAAAATAAATAAAAATAACTATCGGTCAATCCGAAAAGACGTAAGAGAAAACAATACCAGAAAAAACCAAAGTTTAAAAGTTTTAAGACGGAATACGAACCACGTAGGCAACAAAAATATGTACAAAATAAAAAACGAAGGAAACATTACTACTGATACTGATAGAACCAGAATCCTTGAGGTTGTCAAATCCTTTTATCGTGAAATGTATGAGAGCACCTACGAAAGACAAGATCATCTCCTGTCCAAAATAACAAACCAGGGATCGGAATTCATGCCAGAAATAACTTCATACGGCACTTTAAGAAATGAAAGTAACAGATCCCTTGGCGATGACGGAGCGGTAATCAAAGCGATAAAACTAGGTAAAAATGAAATTATCCCGTCTTTGGCCAAGCTTTTCACCGAATGCATCTATCTTCTCAATTATCAAAAAAACCTATTGAACTCTAAATTAAACTTTTATCGGCCTCTAGATTTAGAGAGAAATACATCACTAACGACCACTTAGATAAAGAACGTGATTGGAAAGTCTCCAGAATACAACAAACCATTGGCACTGTTATCTGTCGACTCCGAGAAAGCATACGATACTATAAGCCATCAGAAAATGTTAAAAGCATTGATAGAAAGCTGAATAGATCATTGCTACACTAACTTTGTCGAGTGGAAACCAAGACAAGGAGCAATACGGAGCAGAAAAAGCTCACCAACTAGATGGACTGGTAACCTGAAACATGTTAGCAATAACTGATGCAAGCCGCACATGACAGATATAGATAGAAAAAGTTAAGGAAGACCTATAACCAGCAGTGGATGCATACAAGTTAATAATGATGATCTATCTTTATGCTATTATTGTTTATTTTATTTTTAAGAGTCAAGGCTCTAAAGAAACTGATCAAATTTTCATTTTTTTATAGGGAATCTCAGTTGAGCTGGTTTTGGCCTGGAGAAAACAGATAACTAGAGAAAATACTGTAACTTATTTAAAAACAAATACCGAATAGGTAACCAATTAATGAAGATTACGTCTAATACCTTCTTCTTTTTATAGAATGTTCTCATTTATAAAATTGCAAAAAGAGTTCACAGATATCACAATTATTGAACAGAATTCTAAAGACAAAATAACATCAACAACCTTTAAAATACATTTTTCGAGGTAAATACATTTAGTTTTCCCTTATTATTTAAGAATAGTATTTTAAACGAATGTAGTCTTAAATGTTTCTTTTCAAAAAAAATTAGAGCTTAGAATAGTCCCATATGGTCTAATCTAAAATAGTTGATGATGTATGTCTAACTTTAGTTAATATACTAGATATTTTTGGAAAAATATGCCTGATTTAAGTTTAATTTAATTGTATATATTGTGTAATTCTTGTAGAAAATTGACATCAAAAAAATCTTACCTTGCATACTCGCTAATAAAACTGATCTCTCGGCCATTATTCTTCCAGCAACCATTATTCTGTCCATTCAAAAGATTATCTAACATCCATTCTGGGCTTTGGTTTAACACCTGCTTTAAAGTATACACCAATAACCGCACAGCACCTTTAACCAAATGTCTATCTACTTTAACCGGTAGTGGTTTAACACTAAGTAGTCCGGGTGGGAGTTGATCCTGAAAAAAAAAATACCAACATTAATATAGGCTATTGTATTGATCCTTGTATGTTTTACGAATGAAGAAAAACCTTATTTACCCTGATTACACAACTTACAAATGAAAAAATAATGGAGGCATTATTGGCTAAATATTTTAGATAATATTTTAAAGCCGAATAACAGAAGAAGTAAATCGTAGCCTGCTTATCTATTTGATTTTAAAGAAAGTCACTATACTATTTAACAATGCCAGAGAATAGTGAATCTAATCAAAGAAGCTTTATAGAACATAAAAATGTGCGCTGGAGTATTTTTGGACACCATACAAGAAATTTTTATTTAAAATTAAGAAAACTATGTCTATTTAGTTCTATCTAATCATGGTATTTTAATACCTAAGATAGTAAGATCCTTCAGAAACTAACCCGTCATAGTTACAGAATAATCACTATGATTTTTAATGCTATGTTTAACCTGCACTACTTCCTTTTGCAATAAAAATGGCACAGATTATACTTATTTAAAAACCTAATAAAGATCCAAAAGATGTCAAATCATACGGACCGATTAGTCTACTGCCAGTCATTTCTAAGGTTTTAGAAAACTATCTGTTGAGAAAAATCAAACCAATATTGGTCAAAATAGGTCTCATACCTGACCATCAATTCGGATTTTGTAACCAACACGCGACAATAGAAGTTCACAGATTATACACAATTATAAGAATTAGTCTCGAAAACAAGCAATAGTGTACTGCAGTCTTTTTTGATACCTCCCAAGCTATTGATAAGGTATGGCTGACATAACTTAAAGCTTAACTTAAGTTAAATAAAAACCTACCTTACACCTACTACAAACTCCTTAAATCATACCTTAAATAAAAAAAATATCTAGTAAGGTATAGTGATGTGTATATAAAACTTTACCTCATTCTTTCTGGTGTACCTTAAGGTAGTGAGCTCTAATCGATCCTGTACGTGATATATACGGCTTACTTACCTAACCATAATAATCAATATCCTAACGCTTGCAGAGAAGAGAAGCCTTGTTTAGTATACAGGTGCTAGTACAAAGATGCAGAGATATAAATCAAAATGTGTATATTTGTGCAATCGATTTTGAAAAAGCTTTTGACAAAGTCCGACATAACAAAATGCTAGAAATATTGGAAACAGCTGGATTAGACGATAAAGATCTACGAATAATTACAAATCTATACTGGCATCAAGTGGCAAGAATAAAGATTGAACAAGAACTGTCGGATGAAATAAATATAAAAAGAGGAGTGAGACATATGGGCCCGCGTAGCGCAAGCGGTAGTGTGCTTGCCTCGCATGCCGGTGGTCGTGAGTTCGAATCCTACCGCCGGCAAGAACAACTAGGCATTTTTAAAAATGTCTATAGGCCCCAGGTCGACTCAGCCTGAATAAAATGAGTACCTTGGGTAAAACCAGGGGTAATAATAGGCGGTTGAAGCGTAGCACTGGCCATGTTACCTTCCTTGTATACCGTAGGCCCTAGATATAGCAGACTACCCTGCTATACTCCCAAAGCCGCGTGCGGTATAAAACGGGAGACTATTATTATTAGGAGTGAGACAAGGCTGTATATTGTCGCCTTTACTTTTTAACTTATATTCGGAGGAAATATTTAAGGAAGCCTTAATGGAGACAACCGAAGGTATTATTGTGAATGGAGTAACCGTCAACAATATTAGATATGCCGACGATACCTTAGTCCTTGCCAATTGCGGAGAAGACCTTCAAAATCTAATGAACAAAATAAAACAGACTTGTGATCAGTATAGATTAAAACTCAACGTTCAGAAAACTAAATATATGATAGTTAGCAAACAAAATTATATACATGATGACGGTATAAAAGTCGGAGATGCCACACTGGACAGAGTAGAGAAACTCGTGTATTTCGGCAGTAATATCAATGAGAGCTGGGATCCAACCGCAGAAATTAAAAGCCGAATAGAACAAGCCCGAGCTGCCTTTGTAAAAATGAGAAACGTACTTTGCAGTCATGATCTTAGCATTGACCTTAGAGTTCGTATGATATCTTGCTACATCTTTCCTGTCCTGCTGTATAGAGTAGAAGCGTGGACCCTAACTGAAGCTATGCTTAAACGCTTGACAGCCTTTGAGATGTGGGTATACAGACGACTACTGAAAATAAGCTGGGTCGAAAGAGTTAGAAATGAGGAGGTCCTTAGACGGCTGAACCAAACAACACAACTGGTCAATATAATAAAGAAACGCAAGCTGGAATACTTCGGTCATATTATGAGACACCCTGAAAAATATGATCTTTTACATCTGATCATTCAGGGAAAGATCCAAGGTAATCGTGGTCCTGGTAGAAGAAGAACATCATGGCTAAAAAATCTAAGGCAATGGTATGGAAAATCAACTACATCGTTATTTAGAGCTGCTGTCAATAAAGTCACGATAGCGAATATGGTAGCCAACATGATATCCAACGATCGATAACGGTCATGGAACTAGAAGAAGAACGCTTGCAGCATTTGCAAATGATACTGCTTTTCTAACATCTTAGTAACCACATCTAAACAAAACTAATGAATGGTTTAAACTCTGGAGAACTAAAGTAAACTCCTCAAAATCTACATGTATTATATTTACTCTAAGAAGGGGTATATGTCCACAAGGTAACATTAATCCTTTACTCCAAAAGGATTACGTAAAATATTTAGGCATTTATCCGAACCAAACATGTATGGAAGAAAAGAATACAACTAGGAATTTTATACAGAAAACTTTACTCAATGCTGGAAAATAACTCACACCTATTGATCGACAATAAGCTGCTGATATAAAAAGTAATAATAAAACTCATTTGGTCATATGGTTCGCAGCTCTGGGACTCAACTATCGAATCTAATGTTATGAAAATATAAAGACTTCAATTTTATCTTTAAGAACAATTGCTAATGCCCCTTGGTATATCCAGAATGACATCTTACGTAAAGATCTGCAGATACTATCAGTCTCTTAAGACTGCAAAAGTATTTCTGAACAATATCCCAATAGGTTGTGTGTGCATCGGTTGCGTGTGCATCAACACCCTGACACACAATCTTCTCAAAAACCAATAAGCGAAGATATTGAAGCGATATGATCCTTTGGATCTACCTAACCGATCCAACCAGTGCCAACAATGGTAGAAGCTACGCAAAATAATTCTACTATTTACAAAAGAAGATAAAAAACCAGCCAGAAAACTACAGAGGTATAAACTTGTTAAATACTACGCTAAATCTTACAATTAAAATTTTACAAGTGCTAATAGATCAGAGGATAAGTTTAGCACTTGAAAAACAGGGTTTTTGTAGTGGAAGATCGTGTACAGATGCAGTATTTGTTCTTCTTCTTATGGTGCCCTATCCAATTAGTGGATGATGGCGACAATTCTGGCATATTCCTCTCGATCTTGTGTGGCTCTAAAAAGTGCATGGGCATCGAGGTTTGTCCAATCCGTTATGTTTTTAAGCCATTAGTATTTCTTTCTTCCGATGCCTCGTTTTTCTTCTATCCATAATAAAATTTAAGAACTGGTACTTGGAATTTTGAAATATATGACCCAGATAAGCAGTTTTTCATCTTTTTATTATTGGCAACAATTCTCGTTCTCGGTCCATTCGATTTAATACTTCGACATTTGTTGTGTGATCTGTCCATAATTTTCGTTAAAAAAGCGAATTGCTGATAAAGCAGTAGAGTATAATTAATCATCATTTCTGTGTCTAATTAACCTAAAGAAAGCGATTGACAGAGTAAGACTCAAAGATGGACTACATCTTCTGTCTACTAGAGTTATTCCCCTAAAGATTATAAAAACTATCGAAAAAATCTACCAAAATAACAAAATGGAAGTCATAATAAATGGACAACTTACAGAACCTATCGAAATAGGTAGCGGAATAAGACAAGGAGATTCATTGAGTCCCATGCTCTTCAATTTGATAATGGGTGAAATCATCAAAAGCGTTAACAAAGGAAGAGGGTACAGAATGGGAAATAAAGAAATCAAAATGATGTGTTACGCAGACAACGGAATATTGATAGTCCAAGATGAAAATAGTCTGTAAAGACTGGTCCAGTTAACATAAGAGCAAAAGTGAGTTAACATAAGAGCAAAAGAATTTATTGTGATAATTTCATCTCAGAAATCTAAAACAATAGTAGTCAGCAAAGAACCAACCAGATGTAAACTAGAAATTGATGGCATCCTGGAAACCTGGAGAAAGAAGTGAAAAATCAAGTACAAAAAAAGACTGGTAGAATACATTAATAACACTACATGGCGAAACATGTCGAATGAAATAACCACATAAGCAGAAAGGAGAAGACTCGTGTCGTCAAAATAGCTAGAGATAAGTAACCAATCGGCAGAATAAGTATCTGACGACCGCGCAAAAGATGGAGTGACAACCTTTCATAGAGAGGTATTATTCCACCAAGGAATAACCCGAATTGGTTATAAAGAAAAAGAAGAAGAAAAATAACAACGCTGAGGATGATTTCAGAGGCTTCTTAATATGTGTCCAACCAAAATCTTCGTAAATACCTGAGAATACCATTCATAACGGATACTATACACAAACATGCAACTTTAAACTAAAAAAGAAACTAAAACTACGACAATCAACTAATTCGTGCTTTTTCTGATACTTAAGCTAGAATGAGAAGGCTGAAAAGACAGAGGCTAGAAGATTAGATGAATTAAAGTAAACCACTACCCCGTCAACACCCGCAAGCCAACATTATCAACAAATTTATTTAATACTAAAAATGTAACGAGTAGGTAGTAAATAAACAGTCTAACTAAAAAATATACAGTATAAAAATTTGAGCCAGCCTAATAATAAATACTATATCAATCAGGAGAATCTTGAAGATGTGGACCGTATTCGTGATTTTGAAATATATTTTAACTAAAAATTATCATTTGTAGAACATATAGTTGTCGTCAGAAAGTTGGCCTTTAAAAATGATACGAACAAGCTGAATGTTGCTGGCAATATTAATTTTAAAATCCTAAATAAGATTTAAAAAAGCTTACCACTTTTAACTTTGGGTGTCCCCCTAAAACCTTATTCGTAGATGCTTAAACAGCAGCTTGATTTTTGTCGATAGGATGCTTGAATCAAAAGATATCGAACTTTTACCGTTGAGCTGATACAAATTTTATTGAACATTGATTTCACGCGCGTAACTGATATTTAAAATCGCCGGTCGTTTCAAGCGTTGTTTCTAAAAGAACATTTTATTCTATACAAAAAATGCTAATAAAGATTTTTGTTTATGAGTAAAGAGACATTCAAGTCTCTGGCGACTAGAGTAATATAAAAAGGTATTCAAACAAAACATTAAAAATGCTTGGAATCATAAAGAGATACTTCTGATTTTACTGCACATTTATGCGATAAAATATCTTCGTGCTAATTAACTGAAATGAAATCTAGAAAACTGTTATATAATTGGGGCAAAATAATATGTGTCCCATTTTTACGAACGAGAAGGGGTGTAGAAAATTTCTTTACTTTATATTGCTTTCAAATTGGGTATATCATGGTACAAAATAAATTATGATAAAGAATACGATCAAATAGAAGACCTTTAAGGTGAAGAGTAAGATTTTGATGAGCTCAAACTATTATGTTCTATTTAGGCAGTTATGGCAAACATCCCAGTACTTAAAAACGTTTTAAATGTGTATACCTAAAATAAAATATGATGAATTCAAATCATTAAATACAATGATGAGAAATTCCAATTTCCTTAATTTTTTTTCTATCTTTGATATCTTTGATGTTTTTAAGGTATTTTGACTTTGCAGGCAAATATTCTGGGTAGTGGTCTAACATTGCTAAAATAATTATTACATACTGAAATGAAGTGTTCGTCACACTTCAACAACAAAATTAAATAAAATTAACTTAATAAAGCTCTAAAGTTCAAGCAAAAAACAAGCACCGATGGTATCAACATTGACACGTTTTGTGGATAAACAAAAGGGAAACTTACCCCAAGACTTCGCGTTGTTTGAGGATTTAAGTGATCCCTTGGAAATTTAGAACTTTCTACGCCATAGTTTTGGTTGTTTAATAAAAGGAACTGATCGTTTCTTAATAAATAATTTACGTTCATATCGTTTATATCGTTTTCTACACTACGTTTAAGACGGTCCTCTTTATCTCTGTCTCTATCGTCGTCCGTTATTGTTGTCGCATTTTTGATCGTGATAATGGCGGCCGTGTCTATCCAAACCCAAACGAAATGCCCGTCCATCATGTTGAGACGTTTCGCGTCTTCGAGAATACGAATACAGCTGGCGCGGTCGCTTAGCAGGATTACTACACCTCTAGTGGATCTCGAAATATCAGCTAATTTTCTGAAAAAAAAAACACATTACTCAGTATAAGAATTCTTCAAAATATATAAATATGAATATATTAACATCCACATAAGATTACAGTAGATCTGTTTTTAACATAAGCGATGGACATAAATCACCAAGAGATGTGCAGGTGGACCATTATATCAGTGCTGGACAAATTTTACTCAGATGCGCATTGCCTAGACAAAAATAAAAGTTTAGCTAATTTTGTCTAAGATCTGTCGCTTAATTTATTAATAATGTTTATTGCTAATGAACTACTGAAACTGTATAACTTGACTAAATATTTGTATTTTAATTTATTACAACAAAACCTTATTTTCGAATCAATCAAAGACAATATTCCAAATAAACAACACAGAGTTTATGAAATTCCTTGTGCAGATTACTCAATGCAATTTTGTGACCTTTGTACAACTCACAAAATTGATTTTAAAAACTTCAAAACTATAGCCTTCATGCCAGCTACAAACCAAGAATTATTAGAGAAATCATAGAAATTAAAAAACGCCAAATTTTCTTTATAAAAGAGATGCCTGCATACGGCTACTTTCGACACGGAGATCTCTCATAAAAAATCATTCGCGCCAAACTCCAAGCGAACCTCCAACCAAACCACGTCACTATCGACGGTATAAATTGACCATCCTCTGTTCCCAGCAGCAATAATGTATTGGTTAGTGATCGGTGCAGTAGTGTCTGGAAGCTCGGGAAACTGAGACCTCAGAAACCCTAAAGAATACTTCAAAGAGAATGTCGAAAATTCACCGCAATGATAATCGACGCGGATCAACCTAAAACTGTTGAGGTTGATTAAATCCGCAGTTGTGTTCATTCTCCGCAGTACTTCTTCATTGGTGACTTTGTCTGTCCATGGTACCTTCAAGATTCTTCTGTATGACCATAGCTCAAAAGCCTGAAGTGTTGATAGAGTTTCCATTGTTTAATATTAAGTATTATTAAATAAAATGTTGATTTCAACATATTACACTTTAGTAGTACACATTTTCCGACAATATTTTGATCATTTTTCCTTTGCCTCTATCTGAAATTCTTCTACTCCTATTATTTTTAATCTTTTTCTACATTAGTCCTGTAGGCCAGGAAAATAAGCAAAAAAAGTTCTCTGTTTTTGGCACTCGTCCGGCCAGGAAAACGACAGTTGTTTTTAGTAATATGGACCTCTGTAACAAAAACATATATGTTTCCTGTAGTCGATTTTTTAGACTTAATTAGTTATTAACAAGTAAACGTCAAAAGGTCAAAAAAGTACAGAGGTCCATACTACTCAAAATAACCGTTGTTTGCCTGGCCGGACAAGTGTCATGAAAAAATGCTTATTTTTCTAGGCTACTGTACAAAAACACAGCAAAAACATGCAATTTTAGGGATGGAAATCAGTATTTTATAAGACTTGTTTTATTTAATAGAGATTGAGATCAGAATTTTCTTTGTCATTTTTGCCTCTTTGAATTCGTTGAGATTTGAGAGATATGTTACTCAAAAACTGCAAACCCCAAAAGTTTTTTTATTATCAATTATTGAATAAGATAATGTAGGGTTTTCAAATTTTATTCTTTTGCAAGTTTATAATTGTGTAACTTATATAATTATGATGCTCACATATATGATTCTCATATCGAATATTTTGGATTTTTTTTTAGTCGCTATTATTTCAAATTAATTTTAGATTACTGATGATACTCATACAGTAGACTGATGTATTCAACTGGTTTAATATATTTGGACGTTTATTTTGACGTTTATTCAGCGTTTAGTATAATTCGTACATTTTGTCATAAAAACCTTTTTCACGTAAAGGAAAAATCATACGAATTCGGTTATTTTTCGTTTAATTTATTAAGTTTTATTAAATATTGTTTTAATTTAACTAAGTTTAAAATAAGTATGCCACCAATTCAACAGTGCGATGAAGCCCAAGGAGAACAGAATGTAATTATGTAAGAGGAAGAATATGCACAAAAAGATATGGCACAACGTCTCAGAAGAAGTCAATGTACAGTTTCGAATAATTTAAAAAGATACCGCGAAACAGGAAAGTTTGGACGAGCCTGATCAAGGACGTCCAAGGTGTACAATCGCAATTGATGTTAGAGGCGAAGACGAATTAATGTGAGTTCAGAAACAGTTAAACAAAAATTAAAAGAAGCAGACTTAAAGCCCATACTCCCCGCCAAAGTTCCATGTCTTTTCCAAAATTATAAAGCTCGTCGTTTAGAATTTGCAAGACCACGTATTTAGTAAAATATGCACAACTAAAAAAATGTTTTCAATCATAAGACCAGAATCCTATTATGTAAGCCATATGGTCAAAACCACGTCTACAGAAGAGTTGGAGAACGATTCTCTAGCTGCAATTTGGCTTAGACTGTTAGTTTTGGAGGTGGTGGCATAATTCTTTGGGAAGGTATTAGTTGGTAGGGACGCACCGCACTCGTGAAAGTGATTTGACGGATAACTGGTGACTTTTACATTTAAAACATCTTGCAAGATCATGTTTTGCCATATGTTGGTTACATTGGATATGAAAGACTCATGTTAATGCACGATAATGCTCGACCACATGCTGCTGCCATAGTGCGCAATTATCTCAATGATGTCCAAATTCGAAGATTGGATTGACCGTTTGGCCCGGATTTAAATCCAATAGAGTACATGTGTGATCACCTAAAACGCTGCTTACGACAAAAAAATCTCGTTCCAAATACGATAGAGCAGCTTCGGCTTGCTGCATAGGTTGAACGAAATGCAATATCCCAAGGGAATATCCAAAATTTACTTGCAAGTATGCCGAGATGGATGCAAGCAGTAATAAGAGAATGAGGGGGGAATACTCGCTACTGAACATGCACTTGTTTCAATTAAAAAAAACGTGTTTAAGAAATTTAAGTTAGCATTTAAGTTTAGAGTAAAATAACCTTATCTACCAAATTTTAAGCATTTATTCTTTTCGCGATTTTCTCGGAATAAAAACTTAAAATTGTTTATAAAACATTGTTAAAATAAACTCTTTTTCACAGGAAATGACTTTATTCGCCAGAATTTATTGAAAAAACATTGAAAAAACAATGATGAAAAAACAAAAATTAGAAAATTTCAAAATATTCGATATTTTTGTCCATGAGATATCTTCTATATATGTAGCTGTTTATGAAATACTGTTAAATGAACGATTTGGAACTTGCTCCAACTTTCATTCAAATATAATATGGCATAAAGAGATGCCTCGTTTAAGATACAAACGTTTATAAAAATTGCTACCGCTATAATGCATTTAATCCTCTTCGCAATCCAAAAGGATAATTTACCAGATTACGTCCTTGGCGAAACACTGTAATAGGATTTGCGCACGAACTAACTTTTATACTTTTTGTTTCCGGACTAGCAACTGTGTTGGTGTATTATGCAGCATAGACGCAGAAAGAAAGCGCTTTCAAACAGTGATTCGTATAATAAAAAAAAGTATAAAAACATATAGTTTAAAGTTCACTAGATATTGTAGAAAATAAAAATGTATGGTGTTATACATTTCTTAATAAGAAAACACTTTTGTTTTTACATAATAAAGATTTAAACAAACTTATTTTACTAAATAAAATCGTAGACTTATCTCTACATTGCAGCAAATCCTGTACAAGATGGCTGAAGGTCTAAAACAATTAACTAAACACTTTAACGCGCAAATTATTATTTTTTTTATTTTTCAGAATTTAAAATAAAATCCAATAACATCTAGAGTTTGGTGGCTAGCCATATAGATACTTATTTTTTATATAAATAAATCACAAAAATGTTTTAAAATATATTTATTTAAAGATAAGACAAATTAAAACAGAAAATTCACAAACATAACATTTCTACAAATTCTAAATAACGACAGTTCAAAATAAAAATCTACCCAGTTTTGTGAAATTCTGAGAAACATTCTAAATACTGACCAACATTACTCTCACTACATGCTATTTTTGATCTTTTCACATTTGATTTGGTGGAGCAACGTGCACATCGCCAATACTTCCCCTTTACTGGTAAATGCACCTCAATATTCGTTTTTCCAGTAACATTATTGGTAGAAATAGAATGTCCAAGAATTTTACGCATTTTGTTTTTGTTTGTAGTAGTTGGCGCAGCTCTTTGTTTTCTGACGGAAAGATAACCAATTAGTTCATTAGCTAGTATCGAATAAAATTGTAAATGAGACATGGCATTTTTTCTTTCGGCGGCCATTGATGTTTTGCACATTATATATGCATTCGCAATCGCAGAATCTAAAAGGTAGAAGAAAATTTTAATCCACCATTTACGACTTTTCCATGAGATGGGGTAGGAAGCAAGGGATTGATCAAAAAGATCAACGCCTCCCATGAATTTGTTGTGTTCAGCTACTGATTGTGGACAGAGTACTTTCTCTTTTTTCCTTCTTTGTTTGTTGATACAACATCAACTTTCAATGAAGGATCATGAAGAGAACTAGTTACGACCACACACATTTTGCCTCTGGCATGCCATTTGCATACTGATTTTTTACTGTACTCATCTCCTACAAAATCAGATTCACCCAGTTTCAATTGGTTATCATTAAACAAAAGGTTCTTGGGATAATGCTTTCTATTTATTTTGAAGGTACTGCAGGCAAATGTATTCTTATGTAGTAAATTGGATAGCAAGTTGTAACCGTTTCAAAAGTTTTAGAAAATTCATTATAAATTTGATTATTTTTTTTTAAATGAAACTACTAACCCCACCTATTTGCCAGGTGCTTGTATTTGACTCAAGGTTTCTACGGTAATTCTCAACATATCCTATAGATGAGAACGATATTAACTTGTCAATCACGCCCCCAATTCAAAACCGTTGAAATAGCGTCGCTCCCTTTTCTGTTACAAACGTCAACCCGATAGGACTTATTTTAGAAGTGAGTCTCTAGGTTAGAGATCCTTTCCGGGAGGTTAAAGTTCATTGATTATGTTAAG